TCTCTGCTAATCACTATCTTCTTTGCAATCGGATCCCAAAACTTGTATCCTTTTACACCTTTCTTGTAGCCCAGAAAGATGCACTTCTTGGATTTTGCATCAAGTTTGGATCTTTCATCTCCAGGTACATGCACATAAGCAGGACATCCAAAAATCCGTAAATGATCAAATTTAACTGGATTATCTGTCCATATTTCTTCTGCGACCTTGCCACCCAATGATGCTCGAGGTGATCTATTGATGAAATAGCATGTCATATTCACAGCCTCTACCCAGAAACTCTTAGAAAGCCCTGCATTCAGTCTTAAGCACCTTGCCCTTTCAGTTAAGGACTTGTTCATCCTTTCTTCCACACCATTCTTCTGTGGTGTCTTCCGCACTGAAAAATGTCTCTAAATCTCATGCTCCTCACAGAACTTCTGAAACTACGAATCTGTGTACGCTGTGTCATTATCAGACCTCAAATATTTGATCTTTCTGTCAGTTTGGTTCTTTACCTCAGTTTTCCACAGCTTGAATTTAGAGAAGATTTCAGATTTCTGCTTCAAAAAATACACCCAAACTTTCCTGGAGAAATCATCAATAAAGGTAACGAAATATTGAGATCCTCCCAATGACAACTCCCTAGTAGGGCCCCATACATCAGAATGCACATAATCAAGAATTCCTTCAGTTTTGTGTTTTTCAGTCATAAAACTGACTCTAGTCTGTTTTCCAAGAATACAGAACTTACAAAAATTGAGCCTGCAACTTTTAACCCCATGCAGCAGATTTCTTCTATGCAATTCTGTCATCTCACGTTCACTGAGATGACCCAGACGCATATGTCATAGCTTTGTGTTGTTATTATCTGACTCAACAGAATGAACTCCACCTACAACTGTACTCCCTAACAGTCTGTAGATATTACTTGCAGTTAACTTCCCTTTCATCACCGTCAGTTCACACTTAACAATTTTGATGGTTTCCCTATCATCATCAACCTTAGGAATAAAACCATTTCTATGTAAAGTGCCCAAGGAAATCAAATTCTTCTTCAGATATGGAATATGTCTGACATCACATAACGTTATAAATGTGTCATCATACATCTGAATTCTGACTTCTCTAATACCAACTATATTGCAGCATCTATCATCACTCAAATAGACTGAG